CAGAAACCAAAGTGCGAAAGCAATCTCAGTCTGGGACCACCTGTGAGACTGAGAAACGCGTGGGGAAACGGAAGGGCCCGCTTAAGCCGGACCAGCGGAAACAAGCCAGTGAAATACGAAAATTGAGAGCTTGTCTGCGATGCAAGTTCCTCAAGAAGACTGTATGTTAATAACAACACCCCACTCCCATCCCACCTTCTTCATTCATTCATGTTTCAGATACCTAACTCTTGATATAGTGTGACAAAGGAGAGCCGTGTGCGGGTTGTCAGCCATCACATGCCAGGCTTTGGCAAGTTCCTTGCACTCGCATTGACATCAAAGAAATCGGCTACTTCATGAAAGACTGGAAGGCCGATTATGAACGTCATGTTACTTTAGCCTTCTCTGTGGGTAACATCAAAGGCTTCTCTGATGTTGAGAGAATACTCTTCATCACCCATGGGTACGGTCAGGTGATTCCTGTCACTGCTCGGGAAGTTTATGTCCGTGATGAAGAGTGCTTCAACATTGATTGGGTGGAATCCATGCAACGCAATCCTAACAGCTTCGAACTCGCTACCGCAAAATTATCAGCTGGGATGGAAGGGATTACCCCCGCGATGCTTTCGGATTACCTTGACAAACATATTGACAGTGAGGGGAGCTTCGAGAAATTTGTCGAGGAATACTTCACGGGCACCCCGTTCCTGACGCAGATGCTTAAGAGTACCTTCCGGTATTACTCTCGGACTAAGCTCCCAGTTATCCGGAAGGCACTGAAGCTCATACTTGCCTACAACCTCACCACGCATGTTACCATGGCCGAAGGTGTCGGTGAACTTGAGGACTTTAATGGCAAGGTCGACGATGAGACATCGAGGTACAATGGCAAAATAATGGCGCCAGTCATGATTAATTTCCAAATCAAGTATGGCTTGGCTACTATGTGGCGAGAATTGCAAAAAGATGTTCTGGAGGAACTATCAGCTCTTTATTCCAGTGTTTACAGTGGTGACAAGCTGAAAAACTGGCCAACCATCTTCCTCCTCGCCTCGATACTGCTTGCAGTGTGGGAGGAGATGCAGTTTGATTGCCATTATCGTGTTCCTGTAAGCCTGTCTTTGATTAAATTTATATATATACATTTCGTTTGGGCTCTGTTAATTTAACTTAATGTGATTAGGATGCCGCGGCCGCCGACAAATTCTGCACTGATATGGAAACAACCCCTGTCGGTGTTATCGTCGGCCTCTTCCAAGCAATTTCACAGAAACTTCCGGCATTTACCGAATGGGATTCCAGCAAGCATCATCACCTCCTTGGCTCGAATGTTGATGTCTGCGATACTATGACGGAGGTTCGCCAGCATGTTACCAAATATGGTAAGCTCCAAGATTATGTGATAGCAAG